AAACTAAACAAAAATTTAATCAAAACTCAAAGCGAAATACTTGAGGCATAATATCTTATATTAAGAAAAATGTCGTTAATTTAGTTGACATTAAAACGAGTGGAAACCCTATTGACAATGAACTCACTCAATGAATCTCTTTAGGGAAAAGCCATCTCATACTGTACTTCAGTAGCTTTTTAGCACTATTTTATGCYTTTATATAATATATATATATATATATATATATTTCAGACAATATTAAACTTAAAAAAGAGGCATCACTTTCATAGTTAATGKTTAATGGGTTATTTATAAATAATATTAAGTAAATTAATTGACTCTAAGATATGTCTTCATTGAGACAACAAATTAAAGCAATAAATAATTTGTTTAACGATTAAACTAAAAAAGTAAGTGAAAAGAGAGACATATACTACTGTACTCTCTCTCTCTCTATATATAAGTGTTTGACTTAAACTCAGGGAATAAATATAGAAATATTGTGCTTTCATTTCATAATATAAAAGATAATGTTTTTGTCTATTGAGCTCAAGTAGTATAGTGTTTACATATTAAATATTTTATCTTTTATGGCTTTAATAACTCTATTTTTACTCGTGTATAGGGAATAGAGTGACTAAATGTACGGCATTTTAATGAGTCTTTTTTTGCTAAAAAATATTTTTATTAAAACAAAATAAGTATAATAGAAAAATAATCTTAAATAAACAATAAATGATATTTTATAGTAATTATTTTATTTAAATAAATATTTTAGTTATATTGCGGTGTTATGTTATTAAGTATATAAAGACAAAAAAAAAAGTTGGTCACTCTGGTTGGAAACAGTATTATAGCTTACCATAAAATATAAGTCCAGAAAATATTTTTCTCACAATTTCCAATTATAGTTAACTGTTATTGATGCTATAATTTTTTTTATAAAAATATCATAGATTTACACATAAAATGGTTACAAACAGTATCTAAATACATTATATTATGAATACAATAAAAATAATAATAAAAGGTTTCATATAACAAAAATGACAAATTATTAGCAAAAAAMAATCGTAACAACTTTGTCTTTTGGTTTTTATTATATATTTATATCAATAATATTTTCAAATTATAATTAAATTGCTTAAAATTTTTTTATTCAATATATTTTAATTTTTACTAAAACTGTTTAATATTTAWATTCTATTTTTCAATTAAATTTACATAAATTTCAAAATTCAGTTTGTATGCATTTTTATTAAATTAAAATTTTTTCAATTGCTGAATGATTTGCATCACATTTATACTGTATTTTATGTAATAAAATATACGATATTCTATTAATAGTAATTATTGTAAGTTTGTTTACTTAAATAAAATTGATTTTTTTTAATTATATTTAAAACATATTATATGATTATATGCTGTGTTTGTTTATATGCAAATGCATGACTTATGAAACGATACATTTAAAGTTCATGAAATATAATCATTTTTTATAACACAAATTGTCATTATTATAAAAGCTATTGTTTTAATTCATATATCATTAGCTTATTTTGAAGGCATTGGTTTTGTTGTAAATTATATACAAATAAAAATACAATTAATTACAACTGAATTGTATAATATATTATACCGTATTATTTTAGTACGGAAATAGAATAATAACCTTTAATTATATCATACAATCTCTCTCTCTCTCTCTCTTTCTGTCTCTCATTTTTTCTTTCTAATATATAATATATAAATTACTATTATAATAGTGAATTACACATGAATTTATATTGAATTCAAATGTGCATTAAATTCGTGACATTTACTTTTCTTATGTAAAAACTAAGTATAGATTATATAATGTAAAAGATATAGTATTAATAAATATATACAATACTAAACAAAATACAATCAAACAGGAAATATTAGGCGCGAGACATGAATTCAATGCATGGATGGCGTACTCTCTTATGGTTTTATAATTAAAAGTCATTATCATATCTTTGGTACTCAAACACCAAAGTTTTCATTTTTACTTTACATACCGTTCAGTATATAGTATATGGTTTTATACAAACATTATATTTGGTTTCATATGGTTGGTCCCAATGAATTGCTTAATACTACATCCGCAGCCAAACACTTAGAGAAAGAGAGAGAGAGAGAGAGAGAGCATCAAAGCGTCAATAATAGGATGTGTTGCAGATGTTGCCAAACGCAACAATAATATTCATTTTTCTCGCAAACCTTTTTGTTGTCTTTAATTTTTTCCCATTTCTTGTGTTATATAAAACTTGATTCACTTTATTAGATAAAACATATTTTGAGAAATAGTTTCATCGTTTGCCAYAAACTTAGAACTGATTTCTTTGTWTTCTTTGATTTCTATTAAATGTGAATCAAATGTTTTTATGGCTCTATTATTAATTCAATAGTTTTTATATATGATTCCCAAACTGATTACTAAAATGAATATATTTTTTGTGATCAAAATCTGTGGTTATATTTGTTTTCTCATTATTTGTAAAGTCTGTCTTTTTCTATGAGAATTGATTTTCAATTTACTTGTTATATAAAATATATTTAAATATTTATTGAATTGTATTTGACTGGTCCTACAAAGGAAAAGGTATTACATTTTATATACCTTTATATAATAATAATATCACTTTCCTTCTCATATATATTCCGATGCAGTATTGGAAACACACTTCTCTTATAAGATGATTACCCGAGAGATCACTGAATTTTTGATGACTATCTCAACAAAAATACAGTAAAAGTATTTTCAATATCCAACTGAAGAGAGTTAATGTAGGAAACAAAACCCAACATTAAAGCAAATATTATAGTAAACTATAGTTTCCTTAACACTAATAATAACATCGTATAAAAACATTTGAAAAGCTGTATATATTTATATTTTGAGTCTCAAAAATTTATAGATAAATTGCATAACTTTTATACGTTTTTAATATAAATATTTGATATCAAAAAATAAAAATAGAGACTATATTTAAATGCTTTTTACTTATAATAAAATACATTTCATTTTTGTTTTTGTCAAAACAGACAAAAATCAATAAAACCTTTTATATTGATTCACATCAAAGACTTTTAGCGAAACATACAAAATAATTCACTGTTTGTTTCACTATTTTTCTCACACAATCTACACATATATTGGTATATCACTTGATAAGTGTATCAGTCAGGGTATAGCCATTCTGGGAAGGGTTGGATAATAGTGACTAACAATTTGAAAATATCTTTTATCCAAAATTTTAAAGTCAGCAAAAACCGACAAATCTAAAATTTCCTAATTTTTTATTTAAACAATACTATAGTATCTATAAAATTGTTTAACAATTTCTAAAACAGATTAAATATTTTGATCTCTAAAGACCCCCCAACTCGAGTAAACCCTGGGCTTTGAGCTCAATATTTTTATTAACTTTTTTCTATTGATTTATAAAAATTTCTCGACATTTCTTTCATTTTTATGGAAAACAACATTATTTCTCATAGACTTTGGATTATTTAATTGCATATAAAGTTATACTGTATATCATATATACAGTACTCTATTATATACTTTTTTAAAAATATAAATACGATAATATTTTTGATTATTTTATATACTTTATATAGATTTGCTTTATATAAAAAATTATTAATTAATAAGTTATTAGTGGTTTGTTATTTATGATGTCAGCGCTAATTGTTTTATCAATATTTTAATAAATTAAAAGCAATTAACAAAATTATATGGAGTGATGCAAAACACTTAGATATAAATAAAATGAAGAAATTGTAATTAATTTGTTAATCAATATATTTATAATTGTATTCAAATGTTTGACTAAATAGTTGCCAACACTGAGCACAAGCAAACAGATGGCGTGCGATAGAGAAAGCAGGTTCTCATCAGTGATGGTAACGCATGAAGGGCTGTGCGATCGGCGCCGTCAGTCGTATACCGGAGTTGAGTGCCGTCTACTCGTCAGTCGAGCCCTTGAATGTAGTATTTGGTCGACAGTTCGTTCACTGCTCTCACAGGCATAGCCTCACTACCAGAGCTGTAGTGCTGTATATTTTATTACTTATATGTGCTGTACATACCTGTGCTGTGCTTTTAATGGTATAATCAGCGCATTAATGCCTTTATCTCTTTAACTTTCTTTTATGATAGTCTTTACTATAATCAGAGATTGCATTTCATGAGAAGTTGTGTATAAATAGTATAAAATTTTGTATTACTCTCACAAATATTTCATTAAAACCAAAGTTAAAACTTGTTTAAAATTATTTTATTTATATATAACTTATGGAAAGTCAATAAATTTATTAATTTGTTTGAATGCAAAGATAATTAATCTTTTGTTTTGAGTTGTGTCTGACAAAAAATAAATAAAACAATTGTTAAAATTGACTTTTATTGCTTATATTGCTGTACTGTCTATCTATTGGATACAAAAAAGTGATACAAACTTCAAGACAGCATTTGATATACGGATCAAACATTCTGAGACAACATTTGTGACAATCAGTGGATAACATACCCGTATATATATGATTATATATATATATATTCTCACACTATTAACGCTTATGTGAATTAACTACCAAATATTAATTGTATTTTAATTTTTTCTATGATTTAAGTGTTGATTTTGATGCAAAAAACCCAATGATTTACTTATACCGTATATACTGTAATATATATCTTGTAATAGACGTTCAAATGTGCGCCAATTAATGGCTTGTGTGGAGACACTTGTCTTCAAAAATTACAATGTATTCAACTTATGGCTTATGTGTTGCCTGTAATCATGGCTTTGTCTATATTAAGACTAAACTATAAAATTTAATTTGGAAAGTGTACTATTAGTTGCATTGAATATAATAAATAATTATAATAAGTTGATCCAAATTACTTATAAAGCAAAACATGTTTTGAATGTTTTGTAAATTTATTTTATTATATACTATATATGTTTTAACAAAACATCTATTGTTTTTGACTGCATTTAAAATAGTGTATATGATATGACACACCTTAACGTTTGCCGTAATTGAATGGATGAATAATTTAGAAGAAATACTTCTTACATGTTATGGTATATCTAATCTTAATTCACAGCAATGGTATGTTTTGATATACATTACGTTATACTTATTATATACAAGTATATACTATATATACAGTATATATATATACAGTATATATTGATATTTTTTAGTTTTGCTAAAGTTTAGCAATATTTAAACATTTTATCAATGACTGATGTGTTGAAAAGTTAATTTTTAAATAAATATATAGTTTTAACTAACACTTGATATTATTTTTAAGAATCAAATGCTTTTAGTAATTATATAAAGTATTACTGTATATGAGTTGTTATATTTCAATGTATTACCAAATGATATACCGGTAATACTGTATGGTTATACCTGTTTAATGTACATCACTATAACGTTAGTAATCAATCATAACATTTCCTGTACCTCTTTTGTAATATTATACAAATTTGAATAATATCAATGATATTATATTATGTTAATATTTTATTTATATTATATTTTAGCTCAATTTTATTAATTCTTCAATTTATCAAATTATATTAATTTTTATTAAATAAATATGAAATAAATCATAAATATACAGTATTATAATTTTACAAAATAGTATTTTATATTCATTAAAAAGTTATAACAAAATAATTAATGTTGGTTATTTATAATCATTTTAAAACATTATATTTACAGTATAGTATGATATAATATTAATTAATTTTTGCTAAATATAATATAATAATTAGATATATTTTCTGACAAATGTATATTTATTTTTATTAAGTTGTATTTATAAATTGAAAATTACATACGCTTTTATACTATTAATATTATTATTGAATAGTTTTAGTATTCCTAAGCATACAATATAATATTTTTCATACAGTATATAAAGTCAATATAATTATAAATAAATATAATTTTAATGAAAAGTTAAAAATGGATAAATAAAGATTGAAGTTTTAAGAAGTGATTATATTTAATAAAATCATGTTTGGCTCTCAACAGCCATTTTGCAGACACAGGCCTTTTCGGTCATTTATTATAGCCTCCGGCGATCTCTTTGTTTATATGTACTCTTTATATGTTATATACATATATACGTTACCTGCCGTTCCCATCAAATTCACTGAAGCCTTGTTTTCGTGTCTCTCTCTCTCTCTCTCTCTCTCTCTCTCTCTCTCTCTCTTAATAATGACTTGAGAACCAAAATACATTAAAATATCATTTGTTTGCAGCACTTGTCTATCAATGCATACATACTTAACATCCAATCAATTTAATAAAATTTTTTTATATATAGTATTAGGATTGTATCGTTATATTATATAACTTATATAAACTGAATTTACTGTAAATTATGTTAGAGGTTATCCTGTGTATTAGTTTAAAATAATTTTTACAATAATCAATAAATTAAAGACAATATTTTAGCACATTTCTCAAGTGATATTCAATGAATGGCAAACTAAGAAATAATTTATTGAACTCAAAATTGAAGAGTTAGTTATAAGTTAAAACTTATAATACATAATCATTAATGACTTTTAGACACATAAACTACAGTATATAATGTATTACATATTTGAGTTCAAACATGTTTTAATGTTATTAACTATTAATAATTTTTTTGTTACCTTTTTACAGATAATCTCAACACTCATTGTAGGCGTTAAAGATTGAGACCATTAGCCGATAGGACGGGCATAAAGTGTTTATCACTTAACTGATACTTGAATGTATCAAAAATAATTATAAACCGGTGGAAGGGTTGGCACAAAGTCTAACTATTATGATGAACACAACACCCATTTGGACGGCTCAAGACATACAAGGGATTCAATCACCGTTAAACAGTTCCATACAATTGCCTACATTTAAGGTCAATGTGGACACGGAATCGGTGCGATCGGGTTATAGTGACCGTTCAAAGAGGAGTAGGGGTCACGCATCACATAGTGTGACCCATAGTGCCAGCAATAATGTACTGATAGGCAACCATATGAATCATGTGAATCATATGAATAACCATTTGTCTGGCAATCATATCAATCATGTGAATCATATTAATAACAATCACAGTCTTTATGGTAACCATAATAGCCATCGCTCTCATAATCACACATCAGGTCATCAYTCGTACAGAAGTTCCAGTCGTCACTCACATCGGTCGACACGTAGTGACCGGGCGTTTGTCAGCAAATTGGAGTCACCCGATGAAAGACATGAGGGTCGACCTGAAGTGATTGAAGTGCAAATATTACCTCAAGATGACAACTGGGGCGACAACACAACTGCCATCACTGGTAATACCAGTGATCACTCGGTGTCTGCTGAAGATATCAATAAAATAGGTAAAGACTTGTGGAGAGAACAAAGTTTTTTATTTCGGTGTCAAATGTGGTCGGGAAGTGTAGTGACGGCTTTCCTATCATTTTGTGCCTTTATATCACCCATTTTGATGGTAGTGTTGCCAAAAGTGGATGCACTGGAGTGGAAAACCCTTGAATGCGGTCCTGAATGTGATGGACTGTTGATTAGTTTTGCATTTAAACTATTGATATTATTAGTGGGCAGTTGGGCTATATTTGTGCGCAAACCACGTGCAACAATGCCACGTATTTTCGTCTACCGGGCTGTTGTGATGGCTCTAGTATTTGTATTTATAGTGTCTTATTGGCTCTTCTATTTGGTCAGAATTGCTGAAAAACGTTTCAATGACTACGATTTGGTCAGTTATCATAGTATAGTCCAGTTCGCTGTATCACTTGTGGACGCCTTACTATTTATTCATTATTTAGCAGTTGTACTCATAGAGATCCGACACTTGCAGCCCCAGTATTACATCAAAGTAGTCCGATCTCCTGATGGTAAGAGCCGTAGCTATAATAGCGGTCAGTTAAGCATACAAAGAGCTGCCGTTTGGATACTTGAGAAGTACTACAAGGACTTTGATATATATAACCCATACTTGGAATCACTTCCCTCAAGAAAGAGTCGCAAATCTAGTGTTAACTCTAATCATATAAATTCAACGACAGCTGCCATCAAATACTATGATATTGAAGGCATTACTAGTGCTCCTAATAATAATTCACAATCTTTAGCTGGTTCCACATCAATGGGCATTAATATGACAAACAATAACCGATTTATGAATGGTATCAATGGTAACAGTGACCTCAGGAATAGGAGGGATCGAGACAGGGATAGGGGCGACACATCTAGTCATCATCACAGCCATCATCACCACAACGAGCGCTTCTATGAAGAACACGAATATGAAAGAAGAGTTAGAAAAAGGAGGGCAAGACTTATCACCGCAACTGAAGACGCCTTTACGCATATCAAGAGAGTACAAGAAGACAGAGGTTTGTATTGCACTCTAAGATATCATATCTTAAGCTAATATCAGTCTTTTGCGACATATTTTATTGATAAACATAATACTAATTAATGAGCTAAAAGTTAAGTCATTTGTAAAACTGCTTTCAGGCTTATCTCTCATATAGACTCAAACATACCATTCCTCATAAGCTTTGGTGTACTATTTGTCAGCTTTATTGACTCTAATTGAAAATCATTTCCAACTGGTTTTCCATAAAAAATATTACAAAAACTAAATATTTTTTTGAGAAATTATTAAATGCTTACAAATGGTCACATATTATGTGACTTTTAAATGATAAGAGTTAGTATTAATGAGAGAGAGAGAGAGAGAGAGAGAGAGAGAGGTTATTATTTTACATTAAGTTATGTTATCTGAGATCAATAATTTGGTTCATAAAATCTACTTTTTGAATACATCTCTAGTCTGGGAAAAAGCAAAGTTGAGAAATAATAGTATTTATATTATTATATATTTTGTTTGTTTGCTGTGATATAAAACAAAAGAGTAGTAATTCAGATGTGAGTCTTTCACAATCGGATGAACAAAGATTTGGCTCATATATACACTATATATTGTATATATAAACTCATGAAATGCTTACTTAGTTTAGTGTCACTTTGTTAGACGTTTATTATTATTTCCCGGGAGTGAACAGCACTGGTAGCCAACGCACCAAATGATTATATGTCAACATACATGTATGTCTGCCCAATGACAATATATGTCCTCATCACATAACTATTATATACAATATGCCRTAATATCAGTTTTTATAGCATTTTAGTTGTTTTGTAGTTTGGGTTTTGTTAATTGCAATTGAAAGCTACAGGAGCTGACAATATGAACACCATATGAGTTAATATATAACAATAAACATTATCTTCTGACGTAATGATCAGTAAAACTTATATACTATATATACTGTATATGTAGTTATAAGTATATAGTGAACAACACATTTATTACATAAGACATACCATTATTTGAGATGTGGTCATCAAATATAAGAAAATATTAAAATATCTAATGAAAGTAAACCGACACTCATTAAGTCTCTCATAAGTTATTATAATACTGTAGATTGTCGTATACATTGGCATCGCTTTGAACAATAGATTATATACTGTATTGTAGTATATTATATATATTCAACTAAATTTGAAAAGAAAATAGTGAATATTTGATGATAACATAGTTATTTCAACTATGTGTCTAATATTAACTTTAATTTTTACACAATAATTATAATTAAGTCATCAAATTATTGCATTTTTATTTGATTTATTACAACTAAATAATATAATAAAGTAGAGAAATATTATCAATAGATGACAGATCAATATAAATGATACATTTAATACATTTAATACATTTAATATTATTATTATGTTTACCGGTACTATATTATTACAGACATGAGAGTGTTTTATGATTGTAATGAATTGTTGTTTGAAATTTATATGATTAGGTCCGGCCATTCCTATGGATCCGAAAGAAGCGGCTCAGTCTATATTCCCATCTCTGGTGCGATCGTTACAGAAGTATTTGCGGATCACTCGACAACAACCGCGTCATTCAATGCAATCCATATTAGATCACTTGGCTCTCTGTCTGAGCTTTGATTTGAGTCCCAAAGCATTTCTCGAGAAATATCTTGTGTCGAGTCCTGTACTTCAGTCGGATAACGAACGCAAACCATTACAGACCTGGAGTTTAGTCTGTGATATAATGCTGTCGAGAAAGATTCAAACGGGAACTGTATTTATGTTAAGACAGGGAGATATCTCACTATTGGTATCTGTCCACGAGTTACCACACTTTAATATTGTTGAAGAAGTTATTGATCCCAAGTCTAATAAATTTGTCTTTCGTTTAAACTCCGAAACCTCTGTTTAGTTAATACATAAGGAATTTAATAATAAGTAATATTAAATAATTAAATATGATGTCAAATATAATTTAATTACTCATTGTTTTTAATATAAGTAATTTTATATGTAATAATAATTTATTAGAAAGCTATTATTGAAATTTTATTGTATAATTTATATTTATTTACTAAAATTTATATGTTGTTTAAAAAAACATTTTAAATAACTATTCTTGCAATTTGTTTTGATATACTCATTAGAATCTTATTATTTTATGATTTTATTTACTTTGATATAATGTACTAAAATGTTTTGTTTTTAATTATACAATAATTGTTAATTAATATAATTTTTGACTTTATTATTTACCAATTTATTCAAAACTTGGATAACAGACTGATTATCAATACTTGTGCCACACATTCAAACTATCATTAGTTATCTAAAAAAATTTGGTTCAATTTGATATATACATTATATAACATTTTTTATAAAACAAGAAATAATGTGTAGAATATACAGTGTATTTCATTTTGTAGAGAATAATGTAATATCAAATTTTTACATCAATTAACTCAATGAAAAGCCAAATTAAAGTTAATGTTATACAAAATATTTTCAAAACTTATATAAAAATGATGCCAAAAGAGCTCTGTTTGTTAACATCATTACAATTATTGATTATGACATTAAAAAACAATTTTATATTACTTTCGCCCTAATTGTCAAACACAATGTGTTTTCTCAAAAGCCTTTGTCTCATAATATCATAAATCAATCAAATGTTAACTCAATTGCATATCTCTATACCATTTAAAAATGTTTTATAATTTTTTGCATATAAATTTTATTATTTAAAAAAATGACAAATTAACAAATAATTTACATTATAGTAATATAATGTATTAAAAGATTATTATAATATTATTGTATTATAATTTCACAAATATAGCAATTATTATTTAATGTGTAAATTTATTTTGATTGCACATTACATAAAAAACTCATGTAAATAGAAAATATTGCAATAAAAAATTTTTATATTTAAAAATAAAATGTTATAAAATGTAATGATTGCTTATTTTGTTAACCATAACTTTTTATCGACAAACTAGMGATATATTTGTGRACAAGAAATCCATTCCTCTTYATCATCAATGGCTAATTGATATCATATTTAATATTGAATTAATAGATATAAGTGATGTTAGGTTTAGCAAAGATATATAATAATTGATATTAATTCTAATACAAAAATATGTGTTTAATAATCTTAATATACAATAACATATAAATTGTTAAATTTAATCTTTTATAAATAATATACAATATTTAAAACTTAAAAAATAATAAAACCATAATTCAGATGTCATTTTAGAGTTATAGCCTTTTTTTGACAATCAATTAAACAATTTGAGTAAAATTTATTTATTATAAAATATTACTAATATTAGCTACACTTTTGTCCCATTTTTCAAAATTTCCTTATTTTGAACTCTAAACAACACATTTTTATGATGTTTGAAAAACAAATATTATTTTAAATTGTATTTTAATGGCTGTATTAGACCCGCATCAGACTCTTTTATTTGATCATATAAAAATGGCAAATAATGGTAATGTCATTAATAATTTTTATTTAATTATAAGGTTAACTAATTAAAAAAAAGATTGATTATCATAAATATATTCATTATAAAATTGTCTATAACATTGACATTGGTCATTTTAATCTATATTTTCTATTATTTAAATATTATTTAGAATTTAGATTTTAAATAAATTTTTACTAAATTAACTAAAGGACAAAGTAATATTATACGGGGTATAAAGTAATATAATTATTAAAAATATAATTCATATTTTAGTAGTACTGTATTATATTTTATATCATGTATTCATTTATTATAATCAATAAATAAATAAATATATTTAAATTTAATTATTACATCAATTAAATTGTTGATCACTTGAGTAATGCTTTTCTTGAATCAACAATAACTATACCGTAAGTAATAATAGTTAAATTAAATCCTAATTTTACGTTATTATGACTTTCAATGCATACCAGCAAATGCTGAATGAGATATCAATAAAAACTGATTTGATTTGAATTACACGTATTATACAAACAAACTAAATATCGTAATGTTATTATCATTTGATATATTTATTTAAAAAATAATTTAAATTATATTTTATATACAAAAGATTATATTTTAAATTAAAATGAATTATAAAAATTAAATTATAAAAAATCATTTAATTAAAGAGTTATAGTACTCGTCCTCTAATTCATACAATTCATTGGCGATTTCATCCCTAAGATTAATGAGTTTGTGGTCAATATCGGCCACATTTATCATATTGTCGGCCACTTTCTTGGATATACTGTCATTGATAAGCGGAAAGTCATTTATTATAAGAAACTGTTTGATATCCCAAATCARTTTCAGCATTGATTCCGCCGCCCGACACATGTTTGCCGCCCGACAACACATCTCATAACTGGTGGCCTGAGTTTCACTGCCGCTGACTGGAGTGTCGGCATCGGTGCGAACCATCTGCAAGATCTTCGTGTAGTTCTCTACTATTGAGTTAATGTCATCTTTCAATCTCTTTTGGTATGACTTGAGTTGTGCCTCTTGWGCCAGATTTTGAGTCATCGCTGTCCACTCAAGTACTTCTKGTTACTCAACGGCAAACACTTGATCCCTATTATCGGCCAAATCTGTAATCAGACAATAAAAATGAATTCATTTACTACTTAATAGTCATAACAATCAATAAATATATTTATAAACCTCTTAGAGATAATTGCAGTGATGTTTGGGATGTGATGTGTGAGTGATGTCAACAAWCATTTGATTGTCAAGTGTTGGACACAATGTGTCAAACAATTCATTCAATGATAACAACAATAAAAATGTGAATATCGTTGAGTCAATTGATAAGCCAATAGATAGCGCTATCAGTATTGCAATACATTTAACAAATTATTATTTAAATAAATGTTTAATTAAATGAATTATCARAAAATAKATTAATTTAAATCAATTCAAATCAGTTTCAATTTCATTAAATAATTARTGTATGATATTATTAATTAATAAAAAACTATTATATTAAATGATAGATATTTAAATATATTGAATTTAGTTTTCTATATAACTATTGTATCTAATTTTGTTGTGATTTTTAAAATTCAATTTTAGTTTAATTGRATATAAATTATACAAATAGTTATCAAATGATTATACGATTACTAAGTTATTAATCATAACTTTTCTTATAAACAATTCTTTTTAAAAATTAGAAAAATTATTGTTAATTATTATTATTATTATTATTATTATTATTAAAAATATTTTATATTATTTGATAGAAAAAATTAAATAATTAATATAAAGTAGATAATCATTTTAAGTCATTAAAGTAGATAATTAATAGTAACTAATTCAATGAAATATAAAAATATATTTATATTTGCATTTTAAATATTTTATATTATTTAAATTTATTAAAAATTATATATTAATTTATTGATATTAAATTTAAACTTAAAAAACGTAAATAATTAATATAAAGTAGATAATCATTTTTTTAATTACTTATCTTATAATACATTACATAAGAAAAATGTAATTCAACTAACAGATATTTTAGATAATATTTGATAATATTTGATATATATTTATTTGTTATATGTGTTTATGTGACTAAAACTTTTGCTATAATTATTGGTTTTCAATCAATCGATATATCTAATTATTTTGTTATATTTATATATAAGTTATATGTGAAATAAATCATGAAAATATTATATATTATATTTTTTAATTTTACATTTATATTTATATATTCACGAATATATATAATAATTTATAATAATTTATAARAAGTTAAATATTTTTTTAATGTTATTATTATTGTTAATAGTTATTTTTAACATTTTTATAGAATTTATTAAATAAGTTTTATGTATATTATATGCTAATTACTCTTAAAAAAATTAAGCCAAACTAAATTATTGTCGATTACATATTAWACTATATTATTATATTAATAAAATAATTTATTAATTATCGGTAAATATTTAAAATGTTCTATAATTTTATTTTAATTTATAGCTTTTATAACAAAAATTCWATGCTAACCAATGAATTGTTATAACTATAAAAATGTTAAATAATAATATAATCATTCAATTAATTCTTTAAAGTATTATAAATTTAAGAAAATTTATTGAAAATGTTTGAATTTAACAAAATATAAAACAAATGGAAACAGTTTTTTTTATTAATATTGTTTAATATTATTTATTTTTATTATGTCTTTGAGCATCAAAAGACATACCGGTGACTATAAAACATGAAATCTATGGCTTAGTATTAGTTTTATTAAAACATTTTATTATTTGTTATAAAATTACATTAACTTGACCTGTTTAAATAGCATCAATTTTACTCTTTATTGATTGCTTATTAATTATTTTTAATATCTTACACAATTTGTGATATAATTTTATTTTATTAAGMCAAAATAATACACACATTATTATTGTGTTGCATTGAGTTGTATTGAGTTGTATTGATTTATGTAGATATTTGATTTATAGTTTTGAAATATTTTTATTTACCAAATTAAATGAAAGAAAAAATATCGGATAACAAAAATATTTCCTTAAGTTATAGAAAATAATATAAAATAAAAGTTTTAATTTAAAATAACGCTAATTACAAAATCTATTAGTTTATAGTAATAGGAAAATCTGTAGTTGTGTTAAAAAGTTAAAGAAAAATAAAATATAAACGAAAATTAATTGCAATTAATTTTATAAAATAAAATTAATGATATTTGAGTTAATTAAATGTCTTTTTTAGGTAAAATTTTAATTCTTTAACAAAATTAAGTATTAGTGAAAATAAAAGTAAAAATATGTTTGAAGTTAATGTAAGAAGTTATTTGTCGACAAATAGATTATATTTGACTTCAAAATCACAATATTTTTATAACTATTGTTTGACATCCCATCAAACAATAAAACAAAATTCATGTTTCTTTACTAAAAAATATATTTATAAGATATATTTTATGTCAGATTAATAACTAAATCTAATATTATAGAATTAGACTCAGATTGTGAAACTAAATTGTAGTGCAAATAATTAAAAATAAAGTCAAATATATTTTTCATTCATTCATATATTTATTTATATTTATATTTTTATTAATTTATTGATAAGTTTAAGAAGAGTTTAAAGTTTATCGACTGATAACAGTGTTATCGGTTTGCAACCAAATATTAATAACTAAATAAAAATCTAATATAATATACAAAATAAAAATAACAGCAAATGTTTAGTTGAATATAGAGTAGTCAATAAAAAATGGGTTAATTATAAGCCCTCTCCTCGTCATAACCTAGAGATTAATCACATTCCTTGTGAGACAAATACAGAGAATATGTTTTTAACAAAACTTTTTTATTTTATAAATAAAAATATCATAAATATAATGTTATAACAGTATATAAATAATCATTTATTTAAATCTAATCTATAAAATGTAAATAATATAAATTATTGTATTATATATATAWATATATACTGTACTAAATATATAATGTGTATTCATCTGATACTCGTCATTAATAATTTGCAAAAAAAATAACAATTTCTTTTAATTAAATTATCAATTGCTTATTATTTTTTACACTATAGTTAGTAATGTTATTTTAATATTGTTATTTTTAAGTAGATTTTTAAAAAATAAACATTGTCAAATATTATTTACAGCAATGTAAAAATAAATCCAACTTATAGTAAAATAACTTATAAATAAATTAAAAGTTAAAATTAAAAAATAACAWCATAATATTAAATATATTTTAAAGAAAAATTAAAATACATGTTTATATAATCCTATATGAGATAAATGTTTGCTGTTTCTTGATTACTAATAGCAAAAAATAGTGATTATAAATATAAAACAAATTGTTTTGTTTTAAAATCTATGTATTTTAAACCGTTAAACAAATGCCGATAACATGTAAACTCTATTATTAGTTTAGTTAAGCGATTAGGCATTAGTTAATAATTAATGGATGACTTCTCAAATAATTTTATTTTTTTGAATATATGATTAGATAACAGTCAGGATTTATCGGTAAATATGTTTAACTTATTTTAATGATTATTAACATTATTTTATTGTTGTTTTTTGCAATCACTGATTGCTTACAAAAGAAAAATGTTGTGGCTTTTGGCTATACATATCGATAATTAATTTATGAGTTCATTAAAATTGTATATAAAAATCACTAATTATTAAATTTTTAATTTTGACCATTAAATGAGTAATATTTTATATGAGATACTAAATCGTGATATTTGATTACTGTGTACATTGTATTCATATTATTCATATTAAAACTTTTATACTAATTTTTTATTACTATTGAATATTAAATATCTTTTCAGATAATTTTAATTAATAATATATATATATATATATATATATATAGAAAAATAAAATTTATATTTAATTCACAGAAAATTGTATATTATGATAGTTTTAAAAAAACTGTTTAATATATAAATGATTGGTCACAATATTTCAATGATGATAACTTTAAAATTTTATGCTATTTTGTTTGTTTTCTTATTATTTGAAAATAATACAAAATAAGACATTGTGAAAATGTTTTGTAACATTACATTTAAAATTATTAAATATAAAATATTAGCGGTAAGATACTCTTTTTTATAAACTTGCAGTTTATTTGAACTATTATAAAATTAAAAAATATTTTTTATTTGATTAAAAGGTTTGTTAACAAAAAATGATAATAATAGTCATAATTATATTGATTGTTGTGTTTTATAAGCAAACATCACGACTACTGTGTTGTGAGAAATCAATTAATTCATTGCATCCCATAGTATGCTATCTATAGTTAAAATCTATATTTTATGCTAATCTTATAGCGATTGGTAAATGTATAGTAAATATAATTGTATTGAGAGTATTGAGGGTATCGATGGTTGGAATGTTTGGCTTTAAATATATCAACAAAAAACAAGAAATATTTGATCGATTAATATCTGAATCAATTAGAAGACATCAATCAAATGGCATATTATTGGCAAATGAGACAAAAATCTAATTATGTAATGATTAAGTCGATAACAAACAATGGATTAATTGTAGACTCAAATTATCATTATTACTACCAGTATATCAAGTATTTCTAATTTTATAATTTTTTATTTACTATTATTATATTCTAACATTTTGTTATAATATTTTCTCTAATTTTTTAAACACTAAAAATAATATCATTAATTTATATATATATATATATRTATATTATGTCTATATACTGTACTTTTTGTAGTACACAACAGGTATAATCAGGTTTATAGGGTTCAATCAGATCAATATCTTTATAACCAATATTGCGGTTCTTTAAAAATAGTTCATTATTTATATACAGTATTGTAAATAACAAAATAAAAATCAAATATATTAGAAATTTAGGACTCAATTAAATATCTTATGCTATAAAACAAAATAAAAATTTATTATATATTTAATTGGAATCGAATTATTGCATATAAATAACATTATTAAAACATCAAATCAATAATCAATTATTTAGTATAACTTAATCACTGTATTATTTCATGTATTGAACCCTATTTATTGTTGAATAGTAGTACTTGTAGTTTGCCATAAATGGGTCCATAAGTACTAAATATTGTTGGATAACATTAGTTACAGTAATCTTTACTTTCAAGACAATCATATTAATAAATATTTATCAAAATTAATCTCTAATTATTGTAAGTTTTGTAAATTTAATAAAATAAAAGATTAACTCAAACAATATTAACTGTAATCATATTTATATAATAATTCAATATAACACAAATAGTTTTTAAAAACAATCTTTTAATAACTCAAATAATCACTAAATACTAACAATTGATAACAATTGTAAACTACCGTAAATGTTGACAATATATTTAATTAACATATTTTATAATAATATTATTATTACTCTATAATCTTCTATTGAATTAGTAGATCAATAGGCAATTGTTGTGATAACCATAACTGCAATGTCTATGATATGGTCTCAAAGCCTGATCTGAGGATTGGTTTGTCGGCACTGTTTGAGAGCCTCATTGAATCCCTCGCAAAGAGTGAGGTCATAGCTTTGGGTGCAATCGAGGAACTGCTTTAACTCGAACTGACAGGCATTTGGCTGACCAGTTGGCTCTTGATATTGATTGTCATATTGCTGTTGTTGTGGTGCCGGTTGCGGAGCATCAGAGCCACCACCAAATCCACCGGTAAGTGCGTGACCAATGGTGTGTCCAACAGCTGAACCWATGGCAACACCACCAGCAGTGGCAGCCATTTGTCCCAAAAGGCCCGGACCTTGAGGTGCTGGTGAAGCTACAGCTGTTGGCTGTTGCGGTACGGGTGCCGGTGCTCTCTGTTGGACAGGAGGTGCCGCTCGTGATGGCTGAGGAGCAGAACGACGAGTTGGTGACGGAGATGATCGACCTCTTCGTGCCATTACTTAATAYGGACAACAATYACAACTAATTTAATGATAATTAMTWTAATTATGATATGCTTACCGTTAATATATCACTGCAATAGTATTCAAGTGATTAAAACAAATGACTTTAAAGACRATCAATGGTTAAGACTTGACTACAGATCTGATGCAACACTTGTTTGCTATAAAATGGAGAACAATGTCTGAAACAAATGTTTTTTTTGTTGACATAAAACACTAATTCATTGCCATTATGTCTACAATAGTCGTACAGTAAGTATACAAAAGCGCATTCTATGGGACAACAATTGCATAACATTTATATGACTTTTCATTCATTGAACTACCGATACATCACATCATGTGATGACAAATACAGACAAAAACTATTTAAAGTAAGAAAAGGTTTTAATTTATAATATATTTCAATATTTCTATTATTATATTATATATTGTTTTGTTTTCAATTATATAAAATTATAATTAAATTAATGTTTTATATATTTTTATTTATTAAATATTATTATTAATTAACAGATATTTGTAATTTATTTCTTTTTTTATGTAAATGAAAAATGAAACTAATTTAATATAAATATTTAAAGTCATTTTATGAATCTCAAGAAAAAACTATTACTAAATATATAAAAATAACCATAACTTTCATCACACATAAACTGATGATTGAATGTGATAATGAAATACTGTATATTTTCTCATAACTTATTATAAACAATACATTTTAAAAATATTTTAATAATATATATATAATTAATTGAATATTTATTTAAACTGTTGTTTTTCATAGAATTTTTTACAATTTATTATTTATGACATTATTTTTAAAAGTATTTCACATATTCTAGACTTTTGTGATCAGAAAACTATTTCACATTATTTTAAAAATACATTATATGAAGTAAATTATTACTATATAATGTCAAATATATTATTTTTTTATTATTTTCGTTTATTGTATTAATTTAATTAATTTTTTTGTGTAAATTTTTGTCAAATCATACTGTATTTGGTAAAAATATAAATATTGTAGGTTTAGGGCGATTCCCAATTATTTGACAACTATTTATCACTTTATGTATCAGTTGATTGTTTTCAAAATTATTAATTCAAATATTATATATTATTATTTTTTAAATTTTTCGATAACCAATAAAGCAGTTTTTAAGAAATATTTGAATTTGAATTTATAATAAATTTCTTGTATTATATAAATAATTATATTTTCATTTATAAAAATAAAATAAAAAGTTTTATTCGAATAAGTTTTTATAACTATTTATTATTTTTGTTTTAAAGTTAAGATGTTTAAAAAAATCTAATTTTCATCAATAGATGTAACTCTGTGTACGAGAGAGAGAGAGAGAGAGAGAGAGAGAGAGAGAGAGAGAGATAATAAATGATGTGTTAGTTTGAAATAATAAAAACCAATATTTCATTTAATTTTCTCTTTTAAAATGAATATACTATAAATAATTATATATTTTTGAACTTTATATATGATTTAATAAAAGACTATTAAATTTAACTAAAAATATAAAACTTTAAATATAATCAAAATAGTTTGTCTCTTAAGAATAAATTTAAATAAAAATATCATTTGTTATAGTTTTTTATTAAGAAATAATAATTTTATAAAAATATTTATTAAAATTTATTGAATAATATTATGAAATTATAATGTTATATATTTATAAAATATTTAAAAATTTAAATATATATATATATATATTTTAAAGAAAAAATATTTTCTATAAACATACTTCTATTTTAAATAATAAACTTAATAATAAAATAAGTTTACAAATCATATTGAAAATATAAATAAATAAAATTTTTACATTAATATACAAAATATAATACTTACTAATCTTTAAAATTATTTTTACTTTACTAAAATTTTATGTTTATTTTCCTAGTTTACAGCATATACCGGTATATATATCATAAGTATATATATATATAAATTAATATTAAATATGTTGTGTAATTTATAACATATTAAATTGATATTTTAAATAATAAGAAATTTAATTGTTTAAACATAATTATTAAGTGAATAGTATCTTAAATCTGAATATTCAATAACAAGAAATTTATTATAAAGTTGACAAAAATAAATTATGATGTATTTATATTTTAAATAATTGTTTTTTAAATAACATCAAAACTTAAACTTGTTTTATTTTTATATTTTATGTTTTTAGTTATATATTATTAGATATAGGCATTTTGTACAAATCAACAACAATTTGTAACAATATATATATATATATATATATAAGATTTTACAATTTCTCATACCCTAAAAGAGAAAAGTAATTTATTATTCACTAATTTTATTACAAAAATTACTATATAATAGTTATTATTGCTTTTATAATATATTAGGAACAATAATTTCAATTGTAATAAAAAATCTATGAATTTAATAATAGTTTTTGAGTGATTATTTTATTATTATTAAACTATTTTTTATTTAGTAATTTAGTAATAAACATTTTTAAAATAAAATTTAACATCATGTAAACTACATCAATATTTTATATTATTTTCATCGAATGAATTTTAGTTGAATTATTTTTAGCCAATAATTTTTTTGTATTTTTCAGTAATGAATTTAAGTTTAGGACAAATTATGTTATATTTATAACTAATACATTTTTAATCATTTTTAAAATTACTATAAAATAATGATGAATATACTGTATTAGAAAAAATTATAATTTTTATTTGATATAAGCACTAAATATTAGAAAATTGTTGGACTAAATACGTGTCATATGGGTTTGATGTATTGTTTTATACAACTTGTGTGTGAAAATTATTAAATTTAAATATATTTTTTTKACTAAATAGGAACATTTAAAAATGTATTATTGAATATATTATTGTTCAATATTTGTTTTAATGTTTAAAATTGTTATTAATAATTTACTATTTAAAAAATTTAAAAAATAACATAAACTCTAACTTGAGATAAAAATATTTTATTCAAAATTTGTTTAAAATGCTGATCAGTATTGATATTTCTAAACTAAACCGATGCCAATCATCGACCTAACTATAAGATAAAGTACTTCAAAAACCAGTTGAAAACCAATATTTGAATCTTTTTAATATACTCTGTAATATAATGACATTTTGCATTACAATTATTGCTCATATTATCGATATTATTGATCTTTCAATGTATTGGTTTACAGACTTAAAAAAAGCATTTCATGTGTTGATTACTGTTTGATCTTTTGATAAGTTTTTTGTGCAATGCATGTATCGCACGAAATACCTGTCCTTCAATTATTGTTAACTATTTTAAATGATCTTATATTATATATTGATGAATGTGATGCCACACCATATAAAACATGAAACATTAAATTACATATTTTATAGACAGGTTATGCACACAACATACACTTTATATACAGTATATATATATGAAAAACCCAACCTAACCAGGTTTTTGCGAGAGAAAACATTTTTAATATTATAAATAATGCTTTTTTGCACAAAACCAGTAGTTCTCTGGCTTATGGCACTGGCATTACTGGTGTGGCTCTTGCATTGGTAGTGATCATCATCAGCAACATTGGTGAAAATCATTAGGCGATGGCAGGTAAACCAGAAGCTGTAGTACTAGCAGAAGCACAGGTAGATTAAAGATAGAGGGCAATGGGCACCTTAAATGTGTAGTAATCATCATCAGAGCAGCAGGTTTTCCACTGTAGTCACGAATCTCATGGCTAAACATTAGATTTAAATTAACAAAACGTCTAAACTTTTCTTATGTTTTGAAGAATCGCTTTAACTCTCAATCCATCTCTTAATGTTTGACTACTATTATAACTAATACACTGTTTATATAAACAATGTCTCCTATTTTTACTTTGAGTTAAATAGTATTATTATTATTATTTTGTTATTATTAAAGTTATTAATATTAGTTATTAATAATAATTATTCACATAACTTCTTAATTGTTTTCAATATATGTATTATAGATATTATACTAAATGTAAAGCATATATTGTAAAATACATGCAATGAAATAGCATATCTCTAAAATTAATTTCCCACAACTTTTAGTTATAATAATTATTGAGAGTGAATAAGTAAAAGAAAAGGCATATAAAAGGTTTATATAAAAAATTGTTATAAATAGTAAACGTTTTATAGCGCGAGGAAGTCGTTTATAATGACTTTTCGAGAGACGATTTTGTCGATAATTTTTTTGTTACATAACTATAAATGTGATGAACAGTAAAGATATTTGTTTGGTTGCAAATGTAACAAATGTTTTTTGAAAGCCTGCTGTGAGACAGTGATAGCACTAATAGGCACTCAACAAACCAGAGATAGACAGACAACTAAAATAATCCATAGAGTGCTACCAAATTCAAAATAAACTGATCCACATATCATAATTGAAACAACAAGCAAACCTTATTTATGCACCCTTAGTGACTTTATTATAATAGTATAGCACAGGTAGATAGTTTATCTAATGGTTCCCTACTTACACTTTAGTTATACTATAAGTTATATATTATGACTTATAAATCAACAGTATATATCATATCTAAGACGTGCCTTATTTTCTAAGAGCAAAACAAAGTCTAATAAATTTTTCTCAGATTTTAAGTGAATGAGAAAACAAAATCAATTCATTTAGTCAGCTCTCATACCTGTGCCTATCGTTCAGTCAATTACTGTCTCAATATCAGTGCCTCTCTTCTCACACATTGATGTCCCTCAGAGTCCAATCATAAGGCACTGTATGCCTCTCCAAGAATTTCCTTCCTGTTTCCCACCAAAACAACGTTTGCCTCAATTTAATTGCAAATTATTTTTCTCTACTATTCTTTACTCTATATTATAATATAACTTAAATATTAAGTTATTTTGAAAGCAGTTTTATGGGTTAGGTATCAGTTATTATAATCAATGCAAACGAATCGGAAAGAATTATTTAACATTTGCTTTAATCGATTATAATTACAACTAAAATGTATTTTTAAATAATAACAACATTGAAAAAAGATAGATATTATAAAAAATGATAAACAGATAGCTCGAGTTAGAAAGAAAGACAGAGAGATAGACAGACAGACAGAGAGAGAAAGAAAGAGAGAGAGAGAGATTATTTGTAAAGTGACATTATTGAGGCGTTTTAAAAGATAAAATAACGTGTGAAAGTACTGTCGATAATGAGACGCTTTTTATAGTAATATAAAATTTTATTAATACTTATAAAT